CCTCCGCCGCTGCATCATTGTCTTTGGGTTGGTGCCTGCTGGACTTGCTAAGAGTGCAGAACAGGGCACTGTCAGTTCCCTCCTGGCTCTGCACCCTTGTGTGCTGTCCCAGAAACAGCAAGAATGCCCCTGCAGGTCACTGTTCAGTCACAACATAATACAGTGTCCCACTTGCTTTTTCTTAGCAGCAGTTCCAGTGTTAAAGTTTGGCTGTAGGACCGAAGAGGGTTGAGATTGCAATGCTGAATTGGGTACAGAATCCTAACTCTTCTACCTGGGGCCTGCAGGAGCTGGGCCAGGACCCTACTGTGCCCCATGTACCCCAGGCTTCCTCTTCTCTGATGTCTTGGCTTCTTGGGACATGCTGTGTTGTTTTATTCATCTCTTCCCCACTGCTTTTCCTGAACTTGCCTTGTCTGTCTTTCTTTGAAATGCATCTCGTACTGAGTGACCTTTCTAGGACTGTTAGCCCTCCACTCAGCCTCTTGCTAGGGGAATTTAATCTGCTGGCACTGCAGTTGTTTCTGTGCCTTTTATTAGACATGCTTTCTCACTAGGCACCCTACGACCTTTAAATTCAACTGAGCTATTGTATGGAAAGTAGCCAGCATCGGCTTCCTTAAATGAGGAACTTTATTAACGTTGGAAGGAGGATAAAGGAAGTCCAGCATGTTCCTGCAGGGCTGGCACAACCTCTAGTTCCCTTTGTCTTGAAGTGCTTCAGGAATCCCAGCTCAAGTGTTTGGACATGAGGCTCATAGAGGAGAGGCGGTCTCTGAGCTCTCTTCCCTCAAGACATGGCAGTCTCTCACCTTGGCTTGCTAAGCTCTTGCCAGCACCTGCCTGGAGCTGCAGCAGGACCTGGAATTGTGTTTTGGACTTGCATTCAGCTGTTAGCTCCTCAGCCGTGGAAGTGCTTTGTGCATCCCTCCTCATGTGCGTTTCTTTGACGCTATGTGCTGCTGGCAGAGCCGAGTCCCTGCAGGCCCTCCCAGCATTTGCTGAAGGTCCCAAGTCTCACCTGGGACACCGCACAAGTCTCTTGCTTTTAGCCACCCCGTGCCTTGCACTAGTGCTGGAGCTCATGAGCTATAAAAAGTCTTCCCTTTGCCATTTGGAGTTATGTTCTGCAGCCTCAGCACATCCAGGCACTGCAGGACTCTGCAGCCTCGGGAGCTGCTGCTGTGCAGCGGCCTGGGGAAAGGACGAGGGAGAGGGGGGCAGCCTCAGTGCTTGACAGAGCCCTCACAGCAGAGCAGTGCTGTGACAGCAGTATTCAAATCCTAGCAAGGAGCTCTGGGAGGAGAGCACCGCTCGGTGCCAACAGCTGCCCTAGTGCTTTTGGAGGAGCTCGGCCTCCTGAAGTCCTCCTGAAAGAGGCCCTCCGGCTGTGAGCGTAGGCTGGGCCCTCAGCGAGGGTGGCGACGCCTCCAAGTGCCTCAGTGCTGGAGCGGGACTTGTGCGGCCTTTGCTCCATCCCGTGTGCAGCCGAGGACAGTCCCCTCAGGGCTGCTGGCGC